CGGCAGCGGCGGAGCGCGGTCGGACGGCGCGGCTCAGCGCCGGCTCCGCCCCAGTTCCAGCAGTGCCGGCCTCCCGCCGCCGGCCCGCGGCTGCCCGGCAGCGGGCCCTGCAGCTCGGCCCCGTCAGCCGTAGTGGTACACGAAGTCGTAGCTGCTCGGCTCCTTGGGGATGGGCGGCGGCGCTTCGGGGATCTGGATGTTCTCCAAGTCCAGGAGCCTCAGCTTCATTTCCATGCTCAGCAATGTGTCCAGGTCGCTTTTAGTCAGCTCACTGGACATGTCCTTCCCCAGGAGAGCATTAAGCCCATCAATCCAGATACAGTACTGTGGAAAAAAATAAAAGGATCATTCGCAACTCTGGCCAAAAATGATAGGTTATGTTGAATCTTTCCATCCGTGCAACGATTAGATACTCCTGTATGGCTCCAAAATAGGAAACGTGGGAGGGAGTTAACCCCAGCCCCAGAACAGTGCCCACAGAGATTTCCAATGGAAGTTAGAGGCCTAGAGGCAATCATGACCCCGTGGCTCTAGGAGCGGGCCAAGAGCCTCTGTTGTGGCATAACAACAGAAAAAGCAAAGCTCTTTAAGGCATCGGTGTGTTGCAGGATGGGGGAAAGGGAACAGCTGACTGCATAGGAAGAAAGAAAGCAGCAGTCCAGACTAAGGGGAATTAGTGGAGGAATTTTTTTCTTTTTTAAAAAGCAAAAGATAACTGGGGGGGGGGGGGGGGGAAGATTCACACCAAGTATCGGCAATGTTTTCTAAGAATGAACCTGGTGGGAGACATCCTGCTCAAGCCTTTAATGAGAAGCAACTGATCCTTCTTAAATCTCTGAAGTTAATTGCTTTATATGCTACCACTTAACAGCTGTGTTTCTTACCTCATATTTATTAGGTGCAATGAAGTTCAAGGTCTCATCGGGATCATATAATATCGAGAAGGCCAATTCTAACACTTCCTGAAGGGAAAAGAATCTTTCACTCATCGACTGAGCAAAACATCACAGCTCCTCCTGCCTGCTAACCCAACAACAGAGGCTGCCTTGCTGCAGCACAGTGCACATTCCCGTTTCAGTATTCTGACCAACTCTGAATAGCCCATAGCACAACCAGACTATGCTCACAGCACCTAGCAATCACAAATGAGTACTAGGAAAAGGCCCAGATATGAGATGGGTTTTGTAAACAATACACCTTCAGTGTGGAAGACCATTTGCTCCTGTTGCTTGCTTTCAGTCTTCAACTCTATAGCACTGGATATTAATTACAGGCAAAAAGAGAGCACTTACCTTATTCTGCTTCAGTGCACTTTTCTCCTTCATGTGTGGACAATCCTTCCCTGTGACAATGGCTTTGATGTCTGCAACTGGAACTAGCAGTGAAAAAGTAAAACTCACAAACAAGAAACTGAGCATTGTTCCTTTGTAGCTCTATACTGCAGTTTTCCAGAACACATTACCAGTAACACATCCCTACAGCTGGCTGTTATAAGAAATGCCAAGCAATTCCAACACTCAAAGGATTTGGGCGAAGACCAAAAGTTGATCTCATCTCAGTCAGGGCTTCAGCCACAGCTCTTTTTCTCTCATCTCTAGGATGGTACTCGTAACAACCTCTAGAGGGCAGAGCACAGAACACTGCACAGCGTGCTCAGAGCAGTAATTGGGCCTTACTTTTTTCCTGTAGAGATTCAAAGGTCACTTCTCCCTGGGCATTATCTTCCAGATCTCCATAGTGTAGCACCTTGTGATTCAGAGCCAGGCGACAATACCAAAATCTTTCTGGAACACACATCAAGTAGAGTAAGCTGAACAAGATCATTCATATAAGGTCTTAACAGCCACTATGCTATAGTCTCCCCACCCAATCCCTCTACTCCCCCAGTTCCTCAGCACTGCTTCCTGTTCATGAGGGCATGGCTGCATTCTTAGAGATGTACATCTGTTCCATCCCAAACTACTGGGTGGTATAGACAGCCCAGGTAACCAGCTTTCCTTTCTGGCAACACGCCTGCTGACAGATTAATTCATTAGATCTTATTTGCTTGCAGTTCTTCACAATAAAAAAATGCAGTAGATGCTGTCGCCTTACCTTGTCTTCTGCGATTTCCAATTTTTCGAAAACTACTTCCCTCACAAAGCCTGTTCAGGCGCTGCTGCTTTATCAGCTCCAAGATCTCAGGTTGGATTTTCTCTCTCAGCTCCCTGGAATTCAAATATGGAAGAGTAAGCAGAAAATGGAGATAATGGCAAGCACAGAAGGCAACTGTTTTGTTAGGCACTTACACAATAGGTGGTGACTGGAAGTCATCTTGGCTCATTCTCTCAGACTGGCGTAGTCGCAGAATTTCAGAATAGCTCAGGCTGCGCAGTTTGCTCTTGAACTGGTCCAGGGAGTTTGGTTTAGATGGGAGAGCCCGTGTGATCTGTTCCCTCACAACCTGCATAACCTAAAGAGGTTGAACAGGGAGAAAAGCAAGTCACATTCTTGCCTGCTTAATGGCAAAAGAGAACCAGGGCACAGCTCAGTGGCAGCAAAGAACTGATGTGAAATCACCACAGCCAGGAGTGTCAAGGTACTTTGGAGTGACTTTGGAGATCCAGAAGAACAAAGAATGACCTCGGGTTATACCAAATAAAAGGTGGGCTATCCTCCCTTACAGCCCATGTCAATGCCCTGTCATACCTTCTGCACCCTACTCTTTAACCAAGTGTACAGGCCGAGTGAACACGTGCCATTCTGCAAAAGATTCTACAAAAATACCTCTTCTCCACTCTGACCTTATTAAAATCTTCTGCTGTCGCCCTCATTTCTTTCCAGGTCTTGTTCAACAGCTGGATGCAGATGGCAAATAGCTCCTCAAATGCACGGTCATGGGTGAAAAACATGGGGTGATAGTCATTCCGGCCTTCGTTGGCTTCAGGAAGAAACAGAAACCACAACCATGTGAGCGTATTGCACAAGGGCTACTAAGAGTAACTAAAATCCACTACAGTGACAGAAACCTGATGGTGTACTAACTTAAGACAGTTCAATGCTTTTCTCCCCATGGACAGTCTATATTGGGAATGGCAACTATCCCCACGCTTCACCATGCAAGCCTCTGTGACTCATGTGCTCTTTTCATACTAGTCCCCTCAAATGACTGCTTGCAGTTGTTTCACACTTGCCTCTGGTAGAATTTCTTATAGTGGTTAGTTGTCTCAGAAAGCTGTTTTGAGACTGTCAGAGCGACCGAACTTTTCTCAAGTTCATGATGGTGTCTAGAGTGTTTTTTTTATACAGCACCCTGCTGAAGCTTCAGGAAGTTGAAGCCTTCCACTTGTGTCAGTTTTTCAGGACAGCCAGAGTGCACAGGCCAAGATTTCTTACTTTACTCCAATACTGGTATTATCACTGGCACACTGACACTGCAACTCCAAGCTCCCCTTACATGGCAGAAGTGAGATCGAGGTACAAATGCTTGTGAATATTGGTCAGCCTGTAAGCTACTTCCAGAAACATCAGCCCAGCAACTTGGAAAGCTGGAGTAATAAATGGTACTTACGGAGCTCCCCAACTTGCAGGATCTCACAAAGCATCCTGGTAAGCTCAATGGCACTGCGCCCAAAGGGACACTCATGCTTATCTTCTCGACTGCTGTTCTCCAGAACAATCTACAAGAAAAGGATCCAACACACACACTAAGAGCTGCTGAGGTGTTGGTATCTGCAAAAACCAGCAGCTCCACTTACCCGGATATAGGTATCCTGATGAAATTTAGCCAAGTAGAGCATATTGTCCAATGCCAGCATCCCTGGAGGAGTCTGAGTAAAATCCATGGCTGGATTGATGTGATTCTGTGAAAAGAGGGTGTAGAAAGAACCCAAACAAATTAGCTCAAAGAAACTGTGTGAGAACCTTTTCTGAATGCATTTTACAACTGCTTGTCCATCAAGCATTCCCTCACATTTATCCAAGAGGTAACCCTGTACACCTGCTGACGCTATCTGAACTTTCTAGAAGACAGGCTGATTCCAAGTTCTTCATAGAATAGGTGCATATGGTAAGTAAGTATCTCCAGAGAATGTACCTAATGAGCCCTGGCATTTAACCAATCAGCAAGTTCATAATGATCTTCCCTAGGAGTCTGAGCGTAGCTGAATTTCTAAAACTCTGATACAGAAGTATGGTAAAGCAAATGGCTATTTCTGTTTCTTATTTTCCCACAACTCTGATGGAGATTGCTTAGATTGCCTTTACATGCTTTACAGTCAGCACTCTCTCTAGATGCATACAGTGAATCCCAGCATCTTGTAGTCCTTGGTGTACATGGCTTTGCGTTTTTCTGTTCCACTGCCAGGGACGGTGTTGCTGTCAGACTCTGCATCAAATGCAATTCTTCGCAACTCAAATATGATGTCTCTCTGTGCCTGAAGGACAGAAGGCAGGGAAATGGTAATGTGTGATCAATCACTAGGGAGTACTCTCACATAACGCACAGTCCCACCTCTCTCTCCAGAGCTCACACAGTGAATACAGAGAGATGCCAAAGGTCATTAACACTACATAAGAAGAGGCAATCCATTTCAAAATGGCAAGTTTCAGTATATTGGGTAATGCAAAATATTTGTTCGCATTTTCCTTTAACTGCCCCAAGTTTACTTAAAGGCAGTTTCCAGGCATTCAGATAATGCTAAGGCATTTCTCACTCAAGACTACAATGCATCTAAGAACTGAGTAACAGACACCTTAAAAATGCCCAGCTTCTTTGTATACCACAAGGAAATGGATAAAATTATGTGCCCTCCATAGAGGTGGAGTAATCAGTTTGACAGCTGGCATCACACTGGTCGAGAAAGGAATACATGGCTTCCAGTGACCACTTACATCTGTAAAAGTCCCACAGCGTACAGCAGGATAGTCATGAGCATACCCTAATCTCGAGGACTACAATGTGAGGGGTGGCTTTGAAACTTTATGTGCCCTCTACTGCAAATTCTATGGAGCTAAGGAGCTCAGGAATAAGGCCCCTTGTACGTGGTATTCTATCAGATCTTACTCAGCTCTAATAGTGACCTGATCATTGGGATCCATCTTGGTCATCATTCTCTCTTCCAGGAGATTAAAGGTCAGGACCTGTAGCACGTACAGCTGATGTGCCATTTCTGTTTTAATCGGGCGGTTTCCTCTGATCACATGCTGCAAAATAAAGGATAGGATAGAAATGAAGAGAACACAAAAACTGAGGTATTAGCTGTCGCCATATGCCAGGCTACATGTACATCTCTGTACATGAAGATTCACCTGTTTAACCTCCATATTCCATCAGAAGCATCATGATAATGCTCTGTAACAGCAGAAAGAAGCATCCCAAACTCCCTTTTGAACAAGTGGCTCCAATTTCACCTTTGGAAGAGTCACTTTTCTGAAAGTGCCCTGAGGGTAGCAGAATTTACACTCTGCACAAGTAAAACCCCTATTGAGCAAACATTAGGAAGCACTCTGTCATTCCAGACATACTTACATTCAGAATTATAGACCTCAGGTGCTTCTGGGCAAATGCATTAGCCATTTCCTGTTGTGGAATTTAAAGATGAAATAACATGAGTGAAACATAAACAAAAAGCCCACATTGTGCAGAAAGGAGAGAAAGAAGGAAGCCTATGAATTGGCGATAGCACTGGCACACAACAAAGTGCTTTTACTACAGACTGTCAATTTAGCATGGCATCTCACCACAAAGCCAGCATCAAGTTGGGATGCAAGGGTCATCTTTATCATGGCACAACTCATGGATGGCTCCCCTACAAAACATCATTAATGTGGAGAAAGGCACTAGTGTAGTCAAAGAACAGAAGAAAATTTAGTTTAACATTGGACATCTAATGATACTTCAATATCAAGAGATATAGCAGCAGGGAGCATACTGTGGGCTGCCCAGAAAAATCTGTCATTACAAGATGTTCCTTCAATTAGGATTTCATAAGTTTCTATACCTAGGTATACACCCAAGATAACAAGGGCTAGAGGATGTAGTTTTCAGGTCTCCTCCCTCTCAAAGACTCTCCCTCTGAAATTTACATTTCCTTTGTCTCGGTTCCTAAAGAGGTGTTTAGAAGTCAGTTTAAGGACAATTTGCAGAAGCACTTCAGTTTACAAAAATAAAGGGTAAATAATTTTCATGCTTAAAGGAAAGCTTCCAGTTTCCCTCTTTACTGCATGGCTTCCTTCCCCAGATGAGGAGGGTTCCCAACCATCAAATCATGATGACAAACAGTCACAGCAGATGCAGTATCTGCTAAAAGCCTTCAGTTCCGGGACCAATTGCACATGCACCTGCAAAAGTCTAACCTGTGCTTTCCTTGTAAATTGTGAAGACATGCTTTTTAAAATACCAGCACACCTGCTAGGAGAGTGGCCCACTAATGTGGGCTAATGTGAAGATGGCATATTATTAGAATTTTGCTGTTATAAGCAAAATCTTTGGGTAAGAAAAATCTGTTGGGCAATACAATACATTGTCTGGAAGAAGTCCAAAAGAACTGCCAGCCTGAGATCTCTTCACATTCCTGTGCAGTACAGATTGAGAATTGGAAGCAGATGAGCAGTCTTAGACAATTGCACTCAATCAGCAGTACATTCTGAGCAATCCAAGACTGTTGCAACTGCTCATATCAACCCTGCTCTTGCCAGGCTTTATAAGGAGTCTGGTAAAATGTGTATATTAACCTCATACCAAGAAAGTGATATGCTGGCTCACAGCCAAGCCGTGATGGCTGCAAGTTCAGCAGCGCTCATGTTACAACCAAAATGAGTCAGTGCTTGAGTGGAAGATATCTAAGAAGCATGTAGATGAAGTAGGAAGTGGTTTCAGAGATAACACACTGCCCTCTGAGTCATTATTTTTTACTATGATTCGTGAGATGTACTACTGAGAATAGAACAAGGCCTGCTGTTAGGATTTGTTCATGCATGCAACACAAAGAATCCTTACTCTGAAGGAATTAGTTTGTACATGGGATGAAGTAACAGGTGACTGAAGCAGATAAACAGTGGGAAGGACAAAGACAATTAAACAATTCTAAATAGCATAGTAAGAAGCATGAGCACGCACATAGCCTAACCACTGCTAAGGGATTTACGTTCTGCTGAGTGTCCAATAACGCCCACTTTGCTGCTCGATGGGGTCATAGAATAACAGAATCATTTATGTTGGAAGAGACATCTTGAGATCATCTAGTCTAACTCCCCTGGTTCAAGCAACCTCAGACAGAGCAGGTTGCCCAGAACCGTGTCCAATCAGGTTTTTAGTATCCCCACTGATGGAGCCTCCACAATCTCTCTGCGTAACCTGTTCCAATGTTTGACCACCCTCATATTAATTTGGGTTTGGGTTTTTTTTTGTTTGTTTTGTGCGTTCAAGTGGAATTCCCTGGGTTTTAAGCTTTGCCCATTGCCTCTTGTTCTGTCAGCAGGCACTGTTGAGAAGAGTTGGGCTCCCTCTTCTTTATTGTGTCCCATCAGGTATTTATACACATTGGTAAGACCCCCCTGAGCCTTCTCTTCTCCAGGTTGAGCAATCACAAATCTCTCAGCCTCTATTCATACGAAAGATATTCCTGTCCCTTAATCACCTTCATGGCCCTTTGTAGTCACGTGGATTGTGTTCGGGGGGGGGGAGTGAAAAAAAAAACTTGGAATTTTGTTTGCTGTGAAGTTTAGTATCTTGGCCAAATTACCAACAGAAGAGTATGTCTTCCTTATTTTCATGTGTTAAGCATATCCATTAATTTTAGAAATGATGTAACATTTATTGAGACCATAATTTCCCCTCTGAAGACACTGCATCCTTGGCAAAAGTGGAATGTTCTCTGTGCCACCCAGAAAATCTAAAAAACATACCAGAATCTCAAGATACAGAAGGTTCCAAATCAACCTATTAACAAGAGTGGCAATTCCCATGGAGATAGCACGGGGCAAAAAAAACCATTCTTGGAGTACAATTCCCATAAGGGTGAAGTCACAGATTAGGCAGAATGTATGCTCTAGCCCCTAATCAGCACTAGGTTTTGTGGCTGCTCTTCACAAACAGCTCTACCTTCAGAAGGATACAGCTGGATATGAAACTCATTAACTCAAGCGAGATTTGCGGTATAAACTCAGGCTGCAGTAAGTTTAAAGAGACCCAGACTGCTAAAGAACTGGTTCCAGTTTTAAAATTGGTTCACCTGGTCAGTCTTGTAGTATCAGTTTCCTTTTACAATCATCTTTATTATCTTGTGTGCACAATAAGTCATTCAAGATTTCTCCTGCTACTGATTCTTCTCCCCTTCACAATCTGAGTACATCCCCATGAGTCCTCCCGCCCTTCTCCCTAGGCTCATCCACTATCTGAAGCCTGTATGCATCATCTCCGAGATACAAGGAGGCATAACTGGAGAAAAGCTAACATGCCTACAGTTCCGCATGACCAGCCCCCAGGCTTGAGTTACTTACAGTGATGGGCAGGTCTAGTGGGTTAAGCAGCTTGTCCTGCTGGCAGAAAGCAAAAAAAGGCACAAAGAGAAGCAGACAGGATTTAGCTCGGAGTCCAGAAATAAGGCACAAACAGGGCAATAGAGAAGAAAGGCTTAACACAGCAAAGCTACATGATACAGACATATGCACATCTTGCACGCAGCTGAGATCTTGGGGGTTTCCTCAGAGCAGGACAGGTGTTTCACTTCTCACATTTGCCACTGAGAATATCCCCCTATGACTTACGAAAGTTCCCTTTTTGCGGGGACGTGGAGGTGGGGTGTTTGTTTAGTAAGTACATACAACCCCAAGGACTCTACACAGCCTACCTCTCCCATATGGAATTAAGTTTCTTCAAAAAAAATTTCCATGCTGTATAAAGGATTACTTTCTGTCTCTCGAGGCCTTTCAGATTGCTTTCTGAGCATCTCCTAAACACAGATGTGCTGCTCCAGAACACATTATAAATGGGATGGTACTTTTACTCCTATGTTGCCACACTGAAACAGCTATAGGTTCCTGGCAAGGTCCAAGGTCTGCCTTGCCCAGACAATATGATTTCTGAGGCATAAACAGCCAGCCAGTAACTATTATTCAGGTTTAAAGTCAAAAAGCAAGAACAAACCTGTCTCTTGTCCTCAGGTGCCTTCAGGAAAAGGGCATTGATCAGGGCAATGGCATATGTCTGAATCTCTTGGTTTGAGCTGCAGAAACAAAAATGGGAGGATCATAAGAGAACAGACAGTATATAACATTACAGCTTGCTGCTTTACCTGCACCATAACAACATTTACTGCAGCTATCTTGGATTTCAACGGACAAGCAGGATTCAGGTAATCTACTTGCATGCCATCCAACTCTTTGTAAGGCCTGCAAAAAGCTAACAGAAATTGCTGACTGATAGCTCCATTATTCCAAAGATAGTGCAGACTGCAGCCTAGCAGAGCTCAGAATTCAGCACCACCACAGTTTGTTTCCAGCACTGAAACTATTACTGTCAAGCCTGGTTATACTGCAGTCTGTTACATGGATACAGTTAGAAACTTATATGGAGCAAGTAATTTTTCTCCCCTATGTCAATGGAAGCCACCAAACGCAAATGGAACTAAGGGGAAAGCATGCCTCTCTTTTATGGCATTGCCTTCCAACCTCAGTAGTTTGGCCCAACCCACACGTCTTTTTCTTATTTTCACTGAAGAGCTTCTTCAAGTAAAGGGAGTTTAGTCCCTTCCTAGATCACGCACAGCATGTGGTTTCACTTGTGATGCTTTGAATAAGCTTCCAAATGCTGATCACACTCTTTTCCACTCCCATCTTGATGCTCTATCAAATCCAGTTTTGTTTCTTGCTATACTACTACTCTGTGTAGTGGGCTGACCTTGGCTGGATGCCAGATGCCCACCAAGCCGCTCTATCACTCCCCTCCTCAGCAGGACAGGACAGGGGAGAAAGTAAGATGAAAAAAAAAATCTCATGGGTCAAGATAAAAGCACTTTTAATAAAGCACAAGCAAAGGCCGTGCACAGAAGCAAAGGAAAAAAAAGATTTATTCTCTACTTCCCATCAGCAGGTGATGCCCAGCCACTTCCTGAGAAGTAGGGCTTCAGTATGCACAGCAGTTGCTCCAGAAGACAAACGTTGTAATAACGAATGCCCCCCCACCTCCTTTTTCTTAGGTTTTATTGCTGAACAGACGCCATATGGTATGGAATATTCCTTTGGTCAGTTTGAGTCAGCTATCCTGGCTATGTCCCCTCCCAAGATCTTGCCCACCCCCAGCCTACTGGGAAGGGGGGAATGTTGGAGAGGCAGCCTTGATGCTGTGGGAGCACTGCTCAGCAGTAGCCAAAACACTGGTGTATTATCAACACCTTGCTAGCTACCAATACAAAGAACAGCACTATGAGGGCTGCTATGAGGAAAATAAACTCTGTCTCAGCGAGACCCCATACACTCTTGGGAGACTTCTGCAGAACTTCAAACTCTTCTGATTAACAGAAGTCCATTGCATCACCTAAATGAATTTGTGTGTGTGTATATTTTTTAAAAAATATTTTATATATATATATATATATATAAAAAAAATGAAAACTTTTATAAAATATCTAAAGCTAAAACGTCTTTTAGCTTAAATAGCTATTTTCCACACTTCAGCATTTATCCCTGGCATATATGTGGATTAGAATGATATTCCTTCTTTTATTGCTCCCTTCCAAATGTTCTTCATTTTGGTCAATCTGCCGTACTTCAAACATGCAAATGTTCATGCATCATCCTAGGTTGTCCTTGGGCCTCCAAGCTTCTTCCAGAACCTATCCTCTGCTAAAGACTGCTTCCTCCTGATAGTCTTGCCAAAGAAACACCAGCAAATTCTGACTCACTCTCCAGCCTCCCTTTCTACAATATTCCCTGCATAGGTACTTTCTTCAGCAACCTTCTGTGTTATGGAAGCACTTAAGCATATGACTGTATGTCTTGAGCAAAGATACTGTGCTTAAACAACTGCTCAAGTGTGTTTAGTGTTAGGACCAAACCTGTGTTTTACTAAAACAGAAATTATAAAGCTGAAAGAACATATACTCTTTGCAGAACAAAGTTGCTGCAGTGTTCATGAGAACTTGTTTAGCTTTTCTGTTAACCAAGTTCAAATGTATAAACACTCTAAGCCCACAGTGACATTGATGCAATACATTGTTTGCACTATAATTTTGTTAAACTACTGTTCATTGATTAAGGAATAGTAATCATATTCACAATGGTGCTTTTCCACATTTTCAGAATTAAAAGGCTTGAGAAAAAAACCCCAAACAACTACTTAATGCTCTGACAAATGCACGCTTCTTTTTTTATGGAAAAGTAGAACTAATGTACACAAACAGCCTTAAAAGCCAGGTATTAATTCATCAGTTAATTTGGAAAGAGAGGAAGGGGAGGTGAGGAAAAAAAGCAAGAAAAGCCATTGTTTTCTTCCTTAATACAAAGGACAAAAACCAGAAGATTATGAGCTCTTAGATTCTAGGGGAGACAATTTAAAGAGGGGTGAAGGTGACAGATGACTGAATGCAGAAGCTTTGGGAAGTTATTTTAGTAAACGCAGGTTTGGTCCTAACACTGAACACACTTCTGTAGTTGTTAAAGCAAAATATCTTTGTTCAAGACACATACTCATGTGCTTAGGTGCTTCCAGAACACAGAACATACTTTTCCAGCATCTTACTTTTTTTTTTTTTTTAAAATCTGTTAGAAAACCTGAAGTTCAAGTAAGACATCATATCAGTAATACTGTAAAAATAGCCTCTTTAAGTGTTTTAAATATAAAAGGATGTACTTTCAAATTAACAGATACTCATAAAATTGATTTAAATCACACCACTGTTGGGTGGACACTCACACTTGCAGATGAGAAATGAGCTGCCCCACGGTGATCTCTTCTGCTATCTTCTGATACAGAGTCTGACTGTTTAGCACCATGCTTTCTAGAATGGCTAGGGATCGTTGGAGGATGGAGACATCTACCATAGGCTGACTCACATACCCTGCAATCTAAAAACAGATGAACCAGCAGGTCAACAGGTGCCTATCCAGGAAACCTTGTGGTGAGTGAGACAAGCTAAGGGAGACAGGGGTCAGAAAGCTGGGTGCACTGTGCTCTCAATGAGTACTCAGCTTCTCAGAATCATCTTGCCCTTTCTGGAAGCTGCATTAAAGCATGAAAAGAAATAGCACCCACTCACCCACTTTACCCAAACTCACCTGTTTGATGAAGGTTATTGAGACCATGTCCCAAGAGACAATACCATGGTCCATGAGCTCCAAGAAGGCAGTCAGGGTGAAAGCCAACATCTCACTGTAACTGAGAAAATCAAGAATGCAGTTAAAAGATACCTGGTAGCAAGGAAGAAACCTGTCCAGCTGAGTAAGCTGGATAAGAGAAAAAAGTCACCACCTTCTCCAAATAAAACAGGCTACAGTTTGGCAGCTGGGGGAGCAATAAAGTATTTGCATTTATGAAGATAATTTTACTGTTTTGTAGAATCATATTTTATTTTTCCTGATTACAAGCACAAATTAAAGCTAGCAAAAATAAGTCTCTAGTCCTGCCACCAGAGACTCACAACCACCTGGATCAGTACCTGGCTAGTCAAAGGAATAACAGGAGAAGCAGCAATGCAGTATTTATTCTTGAGCAGTGCAAAGTGTTGCTACTCAAATTCAACAAATTCAAAAGGGAAAAAAACCAAACCCAACCAAAACCCAGCAAAACCCAGCATATTCAGTACAATGACTGTCAGTTAGAAAAAGACCAGCTTGAAAAGGGGAAAGCTTTTTAAGCTGATCAACTGAAAATTAAAACCATCTGCAAACGCTAGGTTTTTCAACTGCTGTCAGATTTGAGCTCCAGAGTAAATTTATATCACAAAACATGCAAAAATCTTTGGAAATAATAACCCCTCCACACACACACAAAAACCTAACAAACACGTTTTAACATCAGAGAAAAACAAAGAAAAATTGTCATTCTGTAAATATTGGGACCTGGCTTGAAATAAAACAAAAGCACAGCATGAGCTGTGGAAAATTTAATACATAACCACAAGACAGAAAGGTAAAAAAGACAGAGGGAAAGATTGCAAAATATGCTGAAAACATATTAGTTGCTAATATGTAAGAAAATAGAAGACCTATAAATGTTACAACAATAAGTTATCAAGACTTTAAAAGTTCTTTCAATGAAACAGAACAACTACAGCAGAAAAGCCAAGTGAATTATTTGCATCAGAGTTCACCGTGAATATGCTTGGGGAAACTTCCAGATCGGAGTTTGGTTTTTTTCAGGTTTTTTTGTTTGTTTTTAAGAGAGAAGAAAAGTCTTCAAATCTGTCATTTGAACATCACTAGAAGATGTTCTGGAACAAGCCATTAGTATGAAAAAACAGGTCTCCAGGACCAGATGATATTCACTGAAGTATTCAAAAGGAACCATGGTAAAAACGAAACATTGCCAAGGCAAACATAACAGCAATTTCTAGAGAGAACTCAGGCAGGAATCTGAAGGATATATTAGGCATTTAGGTATTTGTCACCAGAAAGATAGAGGGAATCTATGATAAAAGAATAGTACCACTAGAAGAAAAATAAATATTTAACAGGGAAGAATTGCTATGGCTTTTGTAGGCGGAAGTTATGTTTCACATCTATATGTGTATTGGGTTTATGTGGCAAGGCTTTGGTGGCAGGGGCTGCAGGGCACCCACTGTGAGGAGAGGCTGGGGCTACCCTGTGCCAGACACAGCTGGTCCCAGATGGCTCTGTGATGAACCCACCACTGGCCAAAGCTGAGCCCGTCAGTCAAGCTGGTGGCACTTCTGTGGAAGTATATTTAAGAAAGGGTAAAAAATGCTGCACAGCAGTTGTGACAGAGGAGTGAAAGAACATGTGAGAGAAACAACCCTGCAGACATCAAGGTCAGTGAAGGAGGATGGGGAAGAGGTGCTCCAGGTGCTGCAGCAGAGATTCCCCTGCAGCTTGTGGAGAGACCACAGTGAAACAGGTTGTCCCCTGCTGCCCGCAGACCACCACAGTGGAGCAGATATTCACAGCGCAGCCCGTGGAGGACCACACGCTGCAGCAGGTGGAGATGGCCTGAAGGAAGCTGCAGCCCGCGGAGGGCCCATGCTGGGGCAGGCTCCCGGCAGGAGCTGCAGCCCGTCAAGAGGAGTCCATGCAGGAGCAGGTTTTCTGGTAGGAACTGAGGCCCACAGGGGACCCACACTGGAGCAGTCTGTTCCTGACACTGTGTCTTGTGGGGGACCCACAGTGAAGCAGTTTGTGAAGGACTGTATCCCGTGGGAGGGACCCCACGCTGGAGCAGGGGAAAAGTGTGATGAGGAAGGAGCAGCAGAGACGAAGTATGATGGACTGACTGCAGCTCCCATTCCCCATCCCCCTGCGCAGCTCGGTGCTGGGAGGAGGCAGAGCGGGGAGTGAAGGTGAGTCCGGAAAGAAGGGGGTGCAGCGAAGGCGGTTTTACTTGAGTCTTTGTTAACTGGCAACAGATAAATTAATTTTCTCCAAGTCAAGTCTGTTTTGCCCAACCCATGAGCTTTTTCATCTTGTTTTCTTCCCCTGTCCTGTTGAGGAAGGGCTTGGTAGGCAGCTGGCAGCCAGCTGAGGTTAACCCACCACAATACTGAAGAGGTCTTTGAACAAATCAGTAAGTCAAAACAAGAACAGCTGAGCACAACTGCTGGACTTCGAAGAAGATTTTTTTATGAGGTGCTTCACTAATGTATCTTTAAAAACCCAAAACACTCAGCTGCTGAAGGGTAAAAACAAAACCTCTTTCTTGCATTAATAACTGAAAGACAAGAAACAAAAGGGTAGAAATTAAATGGTCAGGTTTCAAACTGATGAAAAGTTGCAAAAAAATTTCCCCACAACATCACAGTAGTACTGGAAACAGCTACCTAGGGGAAGCACGGAAAGAATGATTAGCACTCTGGAATGGCTGCCATAGTCCATTAGCACTGTAACTAAGACTGCAGCTTAGAAAAGGCATGACGAAAGGTTGCTATGAGAAAGAGATCTATATGGTTATGAATGGTACAGAGAAGACAGAGGAATTTACAATTTCTCGTAACAAAATACATAGCAGGAACCAAATGAATATTAGGTGACATTTAAAATAAAGGAAGTATTTTTTTTCTTATAGGACAAGTAACTGTGGAGCTTCATTTCCACACAGTGCTGTAGATGTTGAAAACATAAATTGATGAAAAATGAAGAAGAAAAATCTGTGGAAGAAACACCAAATGTTCTTAAAACAAAGAGATACAATTTCTGCTCGGGAAGCCCAAAAGTTGAAAACTGTTGGAGACTGAAGACTGATACTTTCTCTGCTATACATTCCTTAGCCCTTTCTATTCCCTAAGATAAACAGACGTTTGGCCTTCATAGCAACTCTTCTTATCATGCAGGTCAAAAAGTACTGACCATGTATAGAAGAGCCAGCAACATGCTTGCTGCTGACTGGCACATACATGCCACCAGTTCTACAGAAATGTTCTTGTGTGCAACTGCATGTGGGTTTTTCATAGGATACCTCCTCCCTTAGACGGCAGATGAATAACTGCTCGAGGAGATAATGACCACAAGAAAGGTAATAAAAGTAATTTAAATTATCAAAGTGACCTTTCAATGCAAGTTTCACACATCATAAATGTCTCCTCTTTTGCCTCATGAGGTTTAGCAAATCGCTAGAAAGACTTTGTCTCAGTTAATATATTGGCATTTGCTATGAGGTTGGGTGCTTAATGCCACTTCAGCAAGCAAAATTAGCCCCTTATTTGAGGCCCTGTTCCAGAGTCCTGGAATACAGGAAACTTACTGGGACAGAAGCTTGGTCCCGCTCTCCACAAGCCGTGTCAGCACTGTAATCCCTTCCATGTTAATGAACTCTGTGGCAAAGGTCACATCTGCCGAAAGTTTAGCCAGTTCCTTCATGGCATCCAGTCGGGCTTCCATACTGTGCGACTGGATCCTCTCCATCAGCTGGCGAGCTGCCCTAGACTGGGAGGAAAGAGGGATGATGCCAGTTGCAGACTAGTCACCTGCAGACTGAGTTCTGCCAGCATCAGCATTCTGTCAGAAGTCCATGGATGGGCAGAGAGAGCACAGCAAGGGTAGAGAGATACCAGCAATGACAGGGTAAGTAGCAGCAGTCAGCAAGTCTAAGATAGACTAAAAAAAGGCTGCACTCAGCAACAGTTACAGCCAAGCAGGAGGCAAGTAGAATGCTATTTTACATGTTAGACTAAATGCTTGTTTTTCCTCTTGGTGAGGTGAGTGGAGGTCGATAGAGAAATATGGAGTGAGACCATTAAAGAAATATGATGTGAAAAAAAAAAATCTCTCATAGATTCAAAGAGAAGCACAAGCTCATTTTGTGTATCCATACAACATTCTGTAAGATTTCTCAGACATAGATCAATGATATCCTCTCAACCACCTCTTGCCCAAATAACTTCTTCTTGTCCTACTCACTCTCTGCTACTTGCCATGACACTTGCACAAAAAGGGTTTAAGTATTTCAATAAAAAGGAAGCTGCAGCAAGTCTGCAAGACAACTGCTGAGGTCACAATAGCAAGAATTCACTAGGAAAAACCCTCTCTGCATCAAATTTGTCTCTCAATTTAATTTCTGCATTAAGTCAGCAGTACTGTTGCTTTCCAACTGATAATACTAACTGCACTCATATTGAGAATGCGTCTGTCAGGTGCTTTACAATATGCTAATCCAGGAGATGCAATAAAAATGTAGACTGGATTTATTTACAGAAAGTCCTATAAAAGGGCAGAGCATCCAAAGAAAGATACACACCACAACCAGGAAGGAAAACAAGAGTGTGCACCTCATTGTGCAGAATGGGCAGCAAGAAAGGCAAGCCCCCTACAATTTGGGGAGATCCAGAAAGAAAAGCTGAGAGGCAAGGAACAGCCTGTCATACGAGGATAGCTACTGAGAAAAAGGGATGTGAGGAAGCATTTACCGGGGAGACTGCCAGCTGTAGGATAGTTCCATTCTTGATGTCACAGCGAGTCTGAAAGAAAACATAAACTTTAAACTGCAGAAAAGTGGGGGAAAAAGAATGCAACTGGATCTACAGTGCACATTTGTATGCACAAGTAAAGGGGTTCCTATACCACACAACCCTACTGAGGGTATTGAATTGAGTCACTGGGTCCTCACACCTATCAGCATGCAAAGGGAGAAGTGCAAGGCTCCTCAATTGAATGACACCATTCAAGTCTGAGTATTTTTGATAGCAGAGATGCGGCCCCCCAAGGATTAGCGACAGTATTGTTCCATGACACTAGTCCAAGGCATTCTGCACTCTTGCATGGGACATCAGCAAACTGCTACCTCTCACACTGACCTGCTCTGTGATGTACAGCTGAGGACCATCAGCATACCGCAAGGTGTAGTATTCAGGGTTTGGCAATGACCACCTGGCAGAGGAAGAAGAAGGATACATAAGCTTCTTCCTCCTTTTTTCTTCTGGCTCTCAATTAGGAACAGGAGCTTGATCCCAGGAGGGTGGAAAAGAACTTTCAAGCAAAGCTTTAGCATGGGAAATTAGGTCTCCTGAAGAGGAGAGAAAACACCTTCCTCTTGAGGGAGGGGTGGGACTTCAGCCTACTCTAAGTCAAACTCTGTGCAATGTCTGAAGAGGCCTGCACTTCAGGAACAGCAAGATGGGCCAGTCCTCAGAGACACTGACCCTAGGGGCATACACATGCACACACTCAGAATTGGAATAAAGATGCAAAGCCTCTGTTTTCCAGGAGATCCTTTTCTTCCCAATTTAAACCTTGGCCCATTTCATGGCCAAAACCGGCAGCAGGCAGCATGGATCGGGCTAGCAGCACATTGACAAGCAGCAGAGGCATTCCACAGTACCCCAGCAAGATTTGTCAGGGGGTCAGACTTTCTCCACAAGAGTTCCCAGAGAACTACTTACCCATCACAGACCTCCTTGATGATGGATGCAAGAGGCCTTTTCTAGAACAGAAAGAGAAAGTCCTCAGTAGCCAGTCCTCAGCCTTTCTCAACCAGAAAGGAATACTGCCTATTTCTATGCTTCCCACATTCCAGTATCAAGGTTGTGGGGCCTTTCCTCCCACATCTGATTACCAGGTCTCACCTGATCTATTTCCAGCAGCTGGGCATTAGCACCTGGCCACTCAACAGCTACTTTCACAATGTCCGAAGGTGGTGGCATTGCTCCAGACTCCTCCAGATGCCTTTACAACAGCATACACCCACACACCTGTTAAGAGAAAGGACAGTGAGGAGCTCCGAAAACTATTTCAATTGTTACACTGCATCTAACATCAAGCTTCAAAACACTATGTAAGACCAGTCTTATGGTTTGCTGGGCCTACTAGGGACAAAACATCCAGTGTACCAGAGATAAAGGCCTCATACTAAAACAACACATTGTGAAATTGTATGCCCAACCTTACCACCTAAGGAATACTTCTGAGAGCTTGTTGGGATACTCACACAAGAAGGAGAGTCACTCTGATCAGCAAAGCCCCATTTGCCACCCACTGTGTACTGCCAGGTCAGTTTACAAGACTAGTAAAGCAATAGTTCTCTAGGGTCAGCTACTGTCCATACATGAGAGGGGGAACATACTGTCCAGGCAGCCTCCCTCCTGTGGCCTGGTGTTTACTGATGCCCCATTCATATTTCTCAGATACCTTGATCCTCTCAGGATACCCAAACAGGCTCCTAGGCAGGGTAGCAGCAGCTAGCTTTATCCCATTCCCTTCCTATAACATCATAAATCTAAACATGAATATCCATCACAGAAGTAAAGTTAACTCAGCATTTGCTCTGGAGGTCTACCTTTCACTCCTTTATTTGCCTTAGAGCATAAGCTTGTGTTCAGGGTTTGGTCCCAGACAGCTGTCAGACATGCTGGTTTGTGCTTCATCTGGTAGTAAGAGGCTGTAAAGAAATGTACTTGTTCAGTTCCTTTTTAATCCTCTCCTGGGTCAAAGGAGTAGCCCTGCTCTCTCCCACAGTGCCATAGGGAGAAAATCACAAGGGAGAGAGACAACCCTCCCCATCAGCAGTTCTCAGGAACAAAGGCTTCAAGCTGCCAAAAATGAGATCTGGCCAGACACAGAAGTAGTCCTGTCCTTAAGGACTCCTCCCGAGACTCAATTTCCATAACCCAAATGAGAAGGTAAGCATCCAAACAACTTCCCAGCTCCTATGGAAGCTCCTATTTCTCCTCTTGAGGCAACGCAAGCCCCCTTTCCCAGAACAGAGATGAGACAGTGCTAAGCAGGGACATTTTTTGTTTCATAATTAACATACTTCCCCAACTTCCTTGACCAATTGGGAAAGTGATGCTAAGACAGGCTAAGACTTGAAGGGAAACCAGCCTTTGGAATTTTCCTGATGCAAGGCAAGTAAAGAAGAGAGAACTTTCCTCAGATCAGCAAAGACTGAACAGCTGCAGAGATACCTGGCCCAGAAAATTGGACTACATGACTGTCCTGGAAAAGGGAACTTCTATGAAATTAGCTGTCTACCACAAAAGGCGTGTATGCCTAGCCTGTATAAGATGTTGACCTAGAGATCTGATGATGATCTCAATGAAGCTCATATGCCTCTTCCTTCCCTCGCAGAGACGGGTATCACTGCATGGAGAGATATGAAAACTCAGGTGCGCTAATGTTTCTCTGCATTTGTACACACACAGATCCCTTTATCAGCCCCCACTGACTGTCTTCTCACTCCAACTGAGGCAGCTTCCTCACCTAGGAAAACAGAATGCTATGATCTCCTGGTGCAGCCTTCTGAGATAGTCACAACATTATCATCACTCCTGCCTGCTGGAATTGAGGATGAGGTGTGCAAGTTTAGCATTTCTTTCATAGCATTTCCTGGAAATGCTCAGTGTTATCATTACAGCTAGCCTTGCCCTCAAGTCTCCACCAGATCAGAGATACTTGCTTTACAATGAAGGCACTTGCTGGAGAGAGAAATTAGACATTCCCCTATTAAAACAGGCATTGTTTACCATGAAAAGCCCTTGTGAAGCTGCCTTGCTCAATTTGCTCTATGCTCAGCATATGTATGGTCTTTGCAGTTCCTGCAGGAATCCAGGAAGCCTGAACTCCAAAGCTATCTGGGGCTTCAGCCAACCCAAAAGGGAGATTGGTACTGCATGTGCACAGGAACACCATCCTTCTCCACTCCCGCAACCGCCAGACTTTGTCCACCCTACCATTCCACCCCTTGGAAAGTATCTGGCAAGCAAGATTTGGAATTTCATGATATTCTGAAAATGCACAGCTTATCCCAACTCACAGAGATGGTTACAGCCAGTACTCCTTCCGGCCTTCTCTTTCCTTTTTAGTATCAATTCCAAGAGCGGCTTACGTTTTCTTAAAACCCATAAAATGACTGTAAGACTAAACACATCTCATGCAGGAAAGTGCCAGTCAAGTATGGTTCAGCTTTGCCAGTTTCTTAAAATAAGATCTCCAACCTTTCAGAGAAGCAGCACAGCATTAGCTCAGACTAACATATCAAGAAAGAGTTGGCCTCAGAAAAGCAGCAGACTCAGTGCACCAATCAGGCTGAGCAGGTCTCCAGGGTGATGATAGAGAAGCATTTATATGATTCCTGTCATACAAAATTGCAAGTTACAGTCAAGCAGTTACACAAACAACACCTGATATTTTACTTCCTAATCCTGGAGGGAAGACAACCAAGCCATCTCCCACTCCAAGATTCGCCCTGGATAAAAGTTTTACCACTTTCACCTTCACAACAAAGAGGAAAGCCTGCCCTTCAGAGAAGGTGTATCAGGTAAAAAACTCCAGCTTGGACAAGGTGAGGTCACACAATGGAAGACTGCTCATGTGAGAGCTCAATTAAATCAGTGTCTCAAAGAAGCCTTTGCAGCCCACAGAGCTAGGCTAATTCACAAACAGAAAGCACTGAGCGTATGCTGTCCCATGGAAACACTGTCTCCAAATCCCATGAGCATGTGTTAACATACTCCCCTTTCTTCACAGATTTTGATTATCAGTGTTCTATTCTCTCACTCCAAGACGGAAACATACAATTTACTCTTTGCTAAGAGAGACATGTTAACTTGCAGCAAATATGTTCTCAAGAGGCCTCTAGCCCTAAACACATACACAGCTGCTGCTGCTATTTTCATACCCATTACAATCAGTAAATTGGACTCTATTCCTTTCTTCTACACTCATCCTGAAGCAGCTAGTCTTCTTTTGTCCAACGTAAACTAGGAATTTAGGCAATAAAGCATAAGGAACCCAGGACCAGAATAGCACCTTGCCTCATTGCATAAGCAGAGCAAAGCACTTAGGAATCTGCATAAAGACAGGAATGCTCTGAGCCCAGATATACTTAGGAGACTGCAGCCCCCTGTACAGCACTTATTATTGGGGTTAGTATCAATAGCAAGCCTACCTATACCAGTTATCCTCAGCCCGTTCACAAGTCAATGCCCAATACCTGCTATTTCTAAGGATAGGAAAAGTCTGCCAAGCAAGCCACACTGCAAGTCGGAAGAGTCCCTCCTGATCCTAAAAATCTGACTTTCTCTAACATCCGAGTACAGTGTAATAAAGATACAAGGCAGAACCAAGAAAGCCTGCTGAACCAATGTACTCTGTAGCATCAGCCATAAGAATTGGGAGCTTACCTAATCCTTCTGTCTTGCAAAGAGACAGATGAACCTAATAAAACTGTGAATGTCTTCCTCACTTCCTTTTTCTGAATTACACACACACTCTCTAAAATCAATCAATAAATAAATAAATAATTTAGACTTTCAAATGTCTTTTGCAGCAATAGCTCAAAACAGAGATAACTCATCAATTACTAGTATACAAGAAGCACAGCTTTGTACATAGTCCCCAGACAAAGTGCTCCGTTTGCACGACACCCCCAGATCTGCAGGATATACAGGTTTCCATCCATTAAGTCTAGAAACAGACAGGCAGTTCCCAAATGGTATGTGATTTCCACTCACTGTTCTCCAGTCAGCAACTAAAGCCTACGATGGACTAAACCTGAGAGCCTGAGAAATCTTAGTCATATGGCATAAGCCCACATCACCTCCAATAATCAGACTGGCTTGCAAGAACTGAACAGATAATTATTTCTCCCACAAGTGAACCAACTCATGACTAGAAACCTTCTAAATCCATTCAGTGTTCAAGGCACAGCAAATACACAGTGAAGAGGCAAGGCTCAAACATTACTTCCTTGACTATTAAGAACTGAATCTGCAACTCTTAACTAATACACCCATGAGTAATTAGCATCTAATTACCACCTCTCCCTTCAGCCTCTTGCAGCACAGTCATAGTCTTCTATTTGTACTGCAACTTACATTGCAAGTTGCTACTGCAGAGTACAAGGAAATACAGTACTTTATATGCCAAAACAAAGATGCTCAGATTACTGTAGGTAGAAGCCTTTACAAATCTCTAACTTGTCTTCTCCCTTGCAAAGAACATACATCATTCAGGGAGAGGAAGTGTACATTAAAACAAAAACATTGATATTATGGGAAATTCTGCAGAAATCATAGAATCATTTAGTCTGGAAAAGACCCTTAAGATCATCAAGTCCAACCATAAACCTAACACTGCCAAGTCCACCACTAAACCATGTCCCTAAGTGCCATATAAATAAAGTCTCCTGTTTCATCAAAAAAAAAAGTACTGCAGAGGTTGACCCACAGCTTGTAGAGGCAATGCACTCTACCTTGATATCCTCACTACTGAAAACAGTAATAAACCATTTTGTATTACACTACCTTTGTACCTCAAAAAAAGCTTTCAACTGCATACAAACTCAGAAAGTAACTCACCATGATACGTTAGACTATTTCTGCCCCAAACATCTTCCATAAATGAGCACCCACTCATGACTGGAAACCATGTTCCCTATTCCAATCAGTATTCGAGGCACAGCACACATGCAGTGAAAGGAACAGAGCTTAAGGACTGTTTCTTTGCACAGCAGCACCATGGAACAGATACCACATAAGCCTACCAAGGAAGAGATTCAAACATCAAAATTGGCTGAGCAGAACCCAGAGAAGTAGGAATTAAAAAAGGTAGGAAACCCTTCAGGCAGTCTGGGTCAAACAACCCTTTGAAGGACCCACACAGATCAGTGGCTCAGCAGAAGCAGCTTTCCAGAAGAGGACAATGAAGGCTGGACTACAAATACAAAGGGTACTTCAGGTCAGCCTCTTAACACGAGGTTGTTTGTCAAAAGCATCCTTTGACAGATTTCACTGTATGTCTGCAGACAAGAGATGTAACAGACGTTAAATTTTACACTGGGTATTTTGCAGTGCACCAGTGATATATCTGATAAAATGACTGTTCGGAAGCTCTTGGAAAGAAGCACAGACTGCAATTTTGCATAGTCGTGATTATTAGTCACTTAGTAGTCTCTCACAGCACATTCTTCTCAACAACAGCATGTAAGCAATTCTCACAGTTTTATACAGGGAGACAGCAGCCAAGCTGAAATCCATCAAAGAGGAATTCACTCTGCTTCTACAGAGCCAGTTCCTTCATACAAAGCAGTGGTGTAGGGGTAGCTGCAAGGCAAGAAGAAATCAGCAGAGCCACTAATAACACACTATTCAAGAGACTTCTGAGAAGCTGCAAACTAAAACAACTAGAGTATTTTAAACAGAATTTCCCTATTCACAAACTCAATCTTCTTTTCATTACAGATAGAGAACAAAGTGTGCTGCAGGCAGAATGAAAATGAGGAGGATGAAAGAACATTCCATGAAAAAGAAAAGCTGCCTGGTAGAATCCCCCAGTCAACAAGCGAATAGCTACAGCTTCTGAAACCTGTGGATGCGACAAAACACCCCAGTAATTCTCAGCAAGTCCCAAGATCGTGGTACCAACAGGCCAAACAAAAGGTGGAAGTGACGTTAGCAGAGCAACTAACTGGACAAGTGTGCAGAGAAGACAGCTTCCTTGACCACGCAGCATAAAAGGGTAGCAGACAGCAGAGTCCAACCCGAGGGCTACATAGAGTTTTCTACATTGCCTCATGTAACAAGCAGAGAGAAATGTACTTCACTGGAGAAACCAAAGAACCAGGTGGCTCAGATTCTCCATCTCTACGTTCCTCCAAAGGCCTTCCATGGCTGCACTTCATCTGTAAAACACTAAGCCTACAACACTGGCCTCTTATCTTGCACATTCCAATGCAGCTGGGCAGAGACCATCTCTTAGCAAAGACAGAAACTGATAGCAACAGGCAAAAAGAGAGAACTGCTTTTTTATTATTGTAAATCAGTCAAGTGAGCTGAAAGTAGCCAGCCAGCCACTCCCGAAGCCTGGGCCGAAACTCAGCTTAAGACGCTAAACAATTTTTTTCTGGCGAAGCGCTGTCCGTTGGACGCCTCGGGTCCGCTCGGCTCCCGGGGGAGCAGCGGTCGGCGCCCTTCTCGGACGGCTCCTCGGCCGGATCGCGGCCCTCACGCCCGGGAGCCGGGCCGGCGCGGCGGGCCCCGCGCGCACCGAGAGCCGCAGC